TTTTTCTGTTCAGTCCCGTCTCTTGGTAAACTTTGAAAACAAATTTACTCTTCATTTTTTACCCACCCACGAATAGTGGGCTAACCCACTGCTAGATCACGTGCAACCCTTAACTTGGTTTCACCTATGGTTTCACCTCTTGACATCGTCGATCGGTGTGAGTTTATGGCGTACGAACAGACTGGATAGCTTTCGCTTTGACATGCATGCTGCTCAGTTGAGAAATAGAGATCAGATAATGAATTCAACTCATTGTAACGAGTTTTATAGAGGTATACCAAGATGGGACCGGCCGAGAAGCACGTATGATCACTACTCGACACCCCTGTTGACACCTTGAGTAAGGCCGCCGTCACCCATTGAATCTAAGCAATTCATATTTATACAGACGAACCTTCCCAAATAAAGAGTTCTGGTTCGGCTATGGTATTAGTCGTCAGATTTCATAGATCGCTTCATCGGGTAAAACATCTCGCCATAACCCCATGGTTCAGTTTTAATTACCGGCTATGACGTATTGTGTCAATTAATTGGATCACGACACCTATTCATTCCTCATCTGCATACTCATCGAGTGAGGTCCATAGGGAACATCTGGGGCACATAAAACAATATTCCTGTCTTTGCTTCAGTGATCAAGAATATTTGCCAGAAAATTTTCGTGAGATGAGTTTGGTCAAGTAATTACTATCAGCCAATTGTTCAAACAATTTGGAATTTGAAATGGGCAGTGAGTGTGATCTTATTGGGCTTCGAGAAACCCATACCAAATCAAAGTCTTTAATGAGGCTTCTGAAAAGCTGAATGGGTGAATTCCCGGTTTCCGACCATACCATGTACTTTCTTTTATCACAGTATTACCTGTTGCAAAGTGTACTGTAGGTTTAAGAATGAATGTCTTAAATGTGACAGTATACTCAATACTTCTTGTGATTCTTTGGTCTGAGAATCTGTATACATTTATGTTTGCATTGTCATCGGTAGAATTTCGTACCTCGTAACACTTCAACAGATTGATATCTGTAAAGTTCATCATTACTTCTTTTTCTATATGGTAGTCATTCATCCTGAGGGTCTTTGTCATTGCATTCAAAGCTTACCATGGGCCGTAGTAGGCAACAAAAGTACCATCTAACCAATGGTAAATAATCAGGGTTTTGTATGTGAACATGGTCCCGATATTGATTACTGGACTTGCTCAGTTCTATCTGAGCCAATTTGCAGGTGTTCCCCCAATTGATTTCATATTTCAAAGACGTATTCATATATGTACCCTTAATTTGATGATTGGTGATTTCTTTCATCAATGATGGTCATTGGGCCATGCGACAGGTCAAATGGGGGAGTTCACTCGCCTCGTCTGGAGAAATTAATTTTGTTCAATTGAACATGAAAATAGGCTTTCAAATGCAATCCGCACATCACATATAAATGTGTGGGCCAAGGTGCATAACATGTAATTTTCACCTCCCCTGATAATGGATGTAGCATTTGGACCACATTTCTTAGTCGTTACATGTATGTCTTCAATTACAGGGCATGTGTATCATTTTCATAGTATTTCCAAGTACTGTTCCATGATATGAGTGCCTCCAAGTGATATAACATGAAAAGTCAATTCTTCCCAGTTACAAAACCGAATTTCTTGTGCTGTTATAGCTGAAAACTAAATTTGTGAGAAGTATGTCATGTTGGAGTATTCTTTTCAACTTTGGATATTCTGTTCATCCGGCTGCAAACACTCAATGTCTATCCACCAGAGACAAAGTAAACACAAGCGTTAAACGATATATACCACAATACGCTTCTTCTGGGAAGCATGTCTGGACACAGATTTAGCCAATCTGCTGATTCAGCCATGTAGTTAGCCTGAGCTTGTTATGACGTTTGAGTAAGTTAAGGCTAGCTAATGGCTAAGAGATTATTATAAAAGAGCTATTTATATCGTCTTGTCTGTATATTTTCTTCATTTTCCTCTTGATAGATCAAGCTACCCGATAATTTTCATTCACCTTGCATGACAGGTGACATTACATTGCTATTGATGCATAAAATCTGCAGACTGCATGACCTTGACTGCGGAGCATCTTCAGGAGTTTACTTCTTTCCTGAGGAAACATATATTATGTCCTGTGCAACAAACCTGTACATGTTTGTGTTACAAGTTATTACAATGCTGTCTGGGCATTGATTATCAGAGACTCATTTTACATTTCGCACCTAATCTCAGAATATACCAGGTTAACACTACCATTTTCTTCATCGAGGAGAAGCAAATTCTACATTACACTCTTTTATGTTTACTTGAGCTCAGCTATTTTGTAAATAGTGGTCTGCAATTTAACATTGTGTTTTTAGAGTATGTCTGCAATCGTTTCTTCAGCTTTTTAGCTCCGCTGTCGACTGATTGTCCGTCGTCGTCGTCGCCGTCGTCAACTTTACTTTACAGCTGTGAAACTTTCTAGGAAGGTACCTTGGGTGGTTCTATCTCAGATTTGTTCATTTCGTGTGGATATGTTCAATTGTCTTATTTATAGCGAATATTTTTGTCATTTTTGGTCAAAAATGCTATGGTTTGTTACTTGGTATGTAGGTACCTTGGGTGGTTCTCTCTCAGAGTTGTTCATTTCATGTGGATATGTTCAATTGTCTTATTTATAGCGAATATTTTTGTAATTTTTGGTCAAAAATGTTATGGTTTGATACTTGGTATGTAGGTACCTTGGGTGGTTTTTTCTCAGATTTGTTCATTTCGTGATGATATCTTCATTTCTCTAATTTTGATGAATA